TATCTGACTGAGAATGCTTCTCTGTAAGTACACGATTCCCATTAATTCTCTCTCAAGGCAAATGATTTATAAATACTGATCTACTTGAATTTGAAACTGTTTTTAGTCAAATGAAGTCCCCAGCTATCACTGCAACACTTGAAGGCAAAAATAAAACGCTCTACCTGCAGGTAATTGCCCCCTAATATGCTAAGATTCTGAATATAGTGATGTTTATTGTATTTTTTGTACTGCTTAAATATTAAGGTTTTATTTGTGTCCTTCAGAGCATTGCCTCAATTGAAGAAAGAACAAGACCCAATCTCTGCAAAACTTTGAAAGGTGAGATGTTTTCCTGCCATCAGAAACAGAAACAAAAGCACAGTTGAAATTGAATTCCCAAATGGTCAGAATGTTGACAGCATTATCCTCTTTTATAAATGCCATGATTTTTAAATACCTTGATTTGTGTGTGTGTGTGTTGAAGAGTTGGGATTGGCTGATGGACAGGAGTTAGCTGTTGCTGATGTCACCACACCTCAGACTGTCCTCTTCAAGCTCAACTTCACATCAGAAACATGCAGCATTAAACAAGTACAAAATTAATTTAATGGCAGAGGTTCCTCAAATTCACCTGCAACAGTTTATTTGCAGCATATACCTAAATAACTCCCTTCATGTGTAGAGTCTGTATTTGCTTTGTACTTCAAACTGAAACATCATGTATTTGTTTTCAATACATGTAATTTGCAACACATCATTTATTAGGAATGTTGTCATTTTATCAACCAACTATCCAGACAATTTTAGGATTATTATGCAAGGATGATGAGACCTGTGCCACAAAGCAAGTTTAACCAGTTAGAATTAAGTACTACAAAGGTGGATTGGTGTTCATTGGAATAGTAGCAAACACTGCACAACTAACTTGCTCCAGTGCAAGTTAGTCTCAATCACAGGTCACAAACATATATTTGACCAATCGGCTTGTCTCAGACGTGCAATGAAGTCACTCATCCTGTATCTCTCACTCTGTGTTCATCATGATCTCTTATGCTGTGTAAGTGTTTACATTCTTCATGTTTTTTTTACATATATACTGTATATAATGAACAATGATGAAACCAATCCTGTATTGAATTTCTTTAAATAGTTTTGTAGTACAGTCCTCTGGTAATCCTGTCAGTTGCAGGTTTTTTTTT